ACATTGGAAGACAAGGAAGTCAGAATCATAACCCCAATGATTCCCAAACACGCACATGGATTTTAAGAATCCTCCTAGGATGCAAGGCCACCTGTGTGGTGTTCATTCATCTCATTACCAGCCTTGAGGTCCTGCAGCAGTGGGATGGCTGCAGTAAGATACAGTCAATTTCTGTTCCTGAAACCCCCCAACTTTTCAGAGCCAGGCAAGTTAATATGGAATCCAGGAAAGTAACTATTCCCCTCTCTTCTGCACTGGTGAGGTCACATCTGGAGTAGTGTCCAGTTTTGCCCCCCTCTCCCCCGAAAAGAAATGGAAAAGTTGGAGAGAGTCCAGCGGAGGGCAATGAAGATGGGTAGGGGACTGAGACATATGACTTCTGAGGAGAGACTGAGGTAACTGGGTATATTTAGTCTGCAGAAGAGAAGACTGAGGTGGGATTTGATAATTGCTTTTAACTACCTGAAGAGGGGTTTCAAAGAGGATGGAGCTAGACAGTTCTCAGTGGTGACAGATGACAAGGGGCAGTGTTTTTAAGTTGCAGCAAGGGAGGTTTAGGTTGGATAGATCTAGTTGGGGATGATCCTGCTTTGAGCAGGGTGTTGGACTAAATGACCTCCTGAGGTCCTTTCCAGCCTTAATTTTCTATGATTCTATGACACAAGTGCTATCCTACGGTGGAGTTATATAGTGCGCTGCAGTGTACATATAGATACTGACCAGGACTGGCTGGGGCACAAGGGCGCTACAGTGCAGGGGCTGTTTGCTTGTGAATCCCTGCACTGTAGAAACCATGTGCCTCAGCCAGTCCTGGTCAGTATCTATATGTACCTCTGCAGCAAATTGAGCTGAGGCGGAGCAGCCTCAGGCTGGCAGGCTGGCCCTCTGACCCCCTGGTAGCCAGAGCCGTGCTGCCCTAGCATAATGTGCTGTGGTTCCAGGCAGATGTGTATGCACTGTGCCTGAGAGCAATAAACTCCTCCATGAACTATGCCAGATTTTTTTAATGATGCTAATTGCACGTGTAAGTGAGCCCAAAGACTATTCATCTCCGGGCTACTATATATAGGTGGGGGGAAGTCACCTCGTCCTCTTCCTTGCTCTCTAGAAAAATGATTTAGACTCTGAGGGACACAGGAAAATGAGAGAGAGCTTGTGGGGAGGCAGTGAACTCCCTCTTCTGCTTTAGTAGAGGGGCATCGGTGGATGGAAGGGCCATTTTGCATTATGTGAACGTTTACATTGCCAGTGCTGTTGCTAGCTTATGTGCGTGAATGTCCTGATAGCTCATGTAGCTTATATTCTTGGACATGGTATAAAAGTTTCTAACCAGCAAAAATACCAGGCATGCACAAATGCACAGTTCTCTTAATGGCTTATTAAAGAAAAAGAGGTATATTAAAAGAATATTCAGCTGTATGAAATTTCATACTGGATTTCAGTGGGCTAGTTATAAATGATTATGCTGCATTTATTTTAGTTTGTGATTTAGAGTATTATCCATTTTGTAATATTAGTACACCGAATAGTTAAAAAAGGGTTATTTTGGAATTCATCCAATAGTATTTATAATATTGATGATTAACTTCAGTATCTTATTCTACTATATAGATTTATACCGTTTGTGTGAAATTGTGTAAATGTTGCTTGTTAAAGAGTCTCTCTGATGTGCATAGAATGTATTGGTTTGTTGAGCTAATTCATTTTTAAGAATAATCATTTTTTCCTTCCCTATTCACAGTGGTTTAGGACTCAAAAAGATGGGTAGAAAAGATGCCTCTGCTGCAAGAAGCCCTGTTGAGCAATACCGGAAACAAATAGGTAAGTAATGCTGGAAATGTTACCTTTTGGGTTTCACCCTGTGTATGAGTCCCAGCCCAATCAGCAAAGCTGTCCTTCATAGAAAAAAGCAGGCATGGCCTTAAAAAGAAGATATATTTTATTTTTATAGGTGTCAGTAAAATCTTTAAAAGAAATGGTTCTGTGATATCTTTTAAAGGACAGACTTTCATTATTTTCCTGTTTTTCCTTCAATCTGTATATTAATTTGTTTTTCTGACAATTTTAAACAGTAATGTTGCACAGTCCCGTTTGTTCTTTTATTAACTGAACACTTTTTAATAAAATCAGTAACTATAACCATCTGTTTTTCCTCACATTTTTTCTGTAACAGCTCTTTTTGTGGAGAAATACAGAATGTTATGGAGCATGCACTAAACTGTATATAATACAGACAGAGATATCTATCTGTGATGGGGCAACTCCGTGGCCAGATCCCAAAGTGGCCCGCCCATCTGCCTAGGGCAGCCTGCCCTGACTTTCCTGCCACGACTTGATTGTTAACATAATCTATTAAGTAGGAGGCTTCCCATTCCTTGCCCCAATGCCAGGGGGCACTATCTGCGGCTCTGAACCTTGCCTACACTGTGGCCCATGCCTCACAGATGGCATCCAGATTATGATTACTTCCCCCGGCCTGAGGCCAGGGCAAACTCGGTCCATAATTGGGCTCCATTCATTCTCAAACTCACTTTGCCTTCCATCTCACAGGTGGCCTCTTGCGTACTGCCTATCCCAGGCCACACTCTAATGCCCTAGCTACTCTTGAGCAACCCCTCATGGGCTTTTGGGCTTAGTTACTCTCTCCCTGGTACCACCATGCAGTAGCTTCGGTTCCTGTGAGTTCCCGCAAGAGATGGTGCTCTCCTCTACCTTGGGGGTCTTCCCTTGGTGCTCTCCCCTACCTTGGGGGTCTTCAAGAAGAGACTGGACAAGCACTTTTCCTACCACGGGCAGGGGGTCAGATTCAGTGATCTATTGAGGTCCCTTCCAACCCTAGCACCTATGAATCTATTAATCTTCCCCTACTACATGTGGCATAGCCTTAGACCAACACTGGGCTGCATTTGCCCCAAGCTCCACACCGGGCAGCTCTACAGCATGACCCACCCTGGGGTCTCCTCATCATATTTGCAACTAGCTACTCACAGGGCAGGCCCTTGCGCTGGTCTTCAGGCTTACTCCCAGTTCGGCCCTACTCAGCGCACTCCTGGACTGTCCTTCAGGCCTACTCCCAATTCAGCCCTCCTCTGCGTGGGGCCTCACACCATGTCAATCAACTACTCCCTCTGGGGCCTCGGGGATCTCACGTCCCTGCTGGGCTCAGGCGCCTACAAATGAGCATACCTGGCCCCACTGCTCCCACAGCTCTCACGATTATCCACCAGATGGTGGGGGCCGGGGTTAAGGCGCCCCTACCCACCTTTCACCAGGGAAGTTAACGGTCCTGGCATTTAGTTGAGACTGCCCTGCCACAGAGAGTCCTACCAGGCCTCCTTACCCTGGCAGGGTGCACTGCCACACTATCCTTTGCGGCCTAAATTTAAATGCTTAACTTTTAACCAGTTTTTGAAAATTCTCTTGCTTAAGTCTATTTTATTATTTTCAAGCAAGAGTGCTTAAAATGAATACATTAATCCATACTTAGTCACCTAGTTTTCCTACATTTGCTAAGCACCGGAAACCTCTTAAAAACAGTTTTATAATGTACATACTAATAGTAAAGACTAAAGGTTATGTAGATGTTAACTTTGTCAGATCCTTATTTTTTTAATCCTTTAGTTAGCAACCTAAATATTTTGAATTTATTTTTTTAAACACAGCAAGCTCCATTCATAATTACTTTACTTGAACATGGTGGAATGCTTTTCTTTCTTTTGGCCAGATAATAGTGGAATTCTCTGTACTACCCAGTACTGAGAAGTCAGCGAGGTAGGATTCCTAGCCTCATTTCACAAAAGCAGTGAAACTGTTTGGACTCACCTTTTCCAATGAATATGCGTTTCTTTTATGAGGCATCTCCAGATTTCAGTGAAAGGCTCTTTCTGTCACTTAGGTTGTGCACTGATAATATAAAATTCTAGCTAGATACACTGACTGATAGAATTAAGGCCAGCCCCTTTACCCAAATGGGAGAGAAAGGACTTCAGCTTCTCCAGATAAAAATTCCTTCTATACAGCTAAGTGAAGAGATATTGTAGCTCAGCATTTTGTCATTCCCTCAGAATTCTGTCCCCGACTAACTGTCATAGGGCCCAGCATGTTTCCCCGTTCTTTATGACTAATTCAAGGTTCTGCCATTTTATAGATCCTCCACAGACAAAAGTAGGTTCAAAGATCTTTAAAGGCTGCTCAGGAAGAAGAGTCCTCGTTTACACAGGGCTGCTGCATGTTATTTTACCTGTGTAGGCATCTTCCAGCAGCCTCCAGTATTACGTGTATCAGTGTCCCCTCACTGAAAAATGGTGGCAGGCAGGGTGCTTTAAACCAAAGCTTGTTCTATGAGCTTTAGTTCAAAGCCCCCTGCCGTCATTTTTCAGTGTGGGGACGCTGATGCACGTAAGGCTCATGTGCTTTTAATTAGCACAGCTCACTAATTAAAGCACCTCCCCAACCACCCTGACTCCTGAAGCACATCTATAAGTGCCCTATATTTTAGAAAATAATTTTTTACTGGCAGGGGAACCAACTGTACGATAAAATGTATGGTAACTTACCCAAGTGGAACGTGGTGATAATGTGGATATACTGCTTCTGGTACCCAGGCTAGCTTGTTTAGAACTATATCTGGTATCCTTACCTGGCATTGCACATAACAAAGAATTTGTCTCTACTAGCTGGAATTAATACAGAAATCTTTCTTCTTTTCACTACATTCCCATTACATTTCTTCATTTTTCAGTAGTGTTGAGAGTGGTGGTTATAGCCATGATGGTCTAGGAATTATGTGAATGGCAGGGATTTTTGTGGGTGATATCTTCTATGAGGCCAGCTGCATGGTTGGGATAAAGTCAGACAAGCTTTCAAAAAAAGCATTAGACCTGGTGAAGAATAGCTTGCATTTAAAATCTTGTCTAACTTTATCCCAACCATGCAGTTGGTCCAATAAAAGATATCACCTACAAAAAATCCAGATTGTTCAGATAATTTTGCTATATTGATGATGGTTTGGCTGCCTAATTCTCCATGATTTAACTTTAATTGGTACAAAATTAAGTTTCTACTGTAGAACTTTTGAATCATACCATTCAGCAAAGAAACTACATTTTGTGTCTTAGTTACCTTTGCAGCAGTGTTGCATTGTGAGAGGCATGGGCTCAGGTCCGCAGGTACTATGTTCTCCAGAACTATGAAGCTTGGAGATTTTATGAATTGATTAACCTTATTTTCAAGAACCTCCCCTCCAATTAAATAAAGGTAAACAAATATACATGTCTTTATACTACCTGCAGAGGGGACCAAATATATGAAAATTCTTTCAGCTCTGTCTTCCTCCTCTCCTGCTCCAGTCTTGGTGGCAGGGTCTTCCAGTAGGCTGCTGAGATTTTCCTTTGTCCTTGGTATATGGTCCTTGGGAAGCCAGCAGTGGAACCAGTACAGCAACAATGGCTAGAGGCTCCATTTCTATAGTGTCTCTGACCATTTCCAGCCTACATGAACAAACGAAGCAAGGGTGGGACAATGTAGGTATTACTGTTTTCATAATGGGATACTCATGCAGGGGGAGATTAATTGATATATCTAGTAGAGCCAGTAATCTTCTCAGTGTTATAACTCTGGACCACTCTCTCTTTCCAAGTATTTGATATGGATAGGTTCTCGAAGGAAAGCATGATGGATACTTGCTGTACAAGTGCCATTTACTATTTTGCCTATTGAGTAGCACTGATAGTAATCCTCAGTTCATTACTTATGAGCCTTTCTGGTTGGCAGATGTCTAGGTCAAATTTTTTTGGTGGATCTTTTTTCTTTTTTTCCTGAAAAGTGTGATTTTGTAGGACCTAAAGATGTTGTAAAGTCAGGTCAGTTTCAACAATGTTTGACAAAAACTTTCATAGCAACTTGAAATAAAATTCGGTACTTGATTTCATTTTATTTTATTCCAAATTTTTCATTTTCTTTTCCTGTGGTGTCACATGTTGCCCTGAGTTGTCTTTGAATGTTTCTGATTGGCCAGTTGCCTCTCCTCCTTTGTGATTGAGGTTTTGTTTGCATTTGCTTGACACTATGCCTGCAAGCGGAGACAACAGACGGCTTCTTTTTGCATCAGCAGCTTTCTGAGAGGATTCCCCCAGCATGGCAGATTACAGGTATTCTCTTTCTGTTTCAGCTGGCTGTCACCCATCTCTGCTGCCCACCATCAACCGTCTGTTTGCAGCATTTCTTTAGTGCAGCCGGCGCTGTAATATACAACAGACGGACAAACTTTTCCACAGGGAATATGAAGAGGCATTTGCTTCTTAGAATGAATAACTGGCTTCGCCAGAATCCCACCTCAAGTGAGACAGAAACCTGTTGGAAAAATCTGCAAGCGTTGCTGGAGTAGGGGAGGGAAAAAGAGGACATGTCTGACAGGAATGTCTTATATTTGGTTCCCTTTGCAGTGGATGAATGGGTTGGAAGGAGATGTGTAAAGAAGTATCTTTATCTACATTTATTGAATTTTATTTTTTTCCTGCAATTATAATGGCCTTTTTTGCATAGCATTTACTAATTATTTCTGCTGCCATCTATGCTGCTATGCTTATTTTGCTGCGGTCGAAATGGGGAAATATGAGTCCTTCCCTCCCTCCCCCGACAAACACACACTTTATGTTGTACATTGTGGGTAAGGAGTCTTCCTCTCTTTCCCCCTCTACTTTCTTTGGTAGTAGGGTTACTCACTGAGGGTCTTTATTACCTCCTGTTAATTGATTGAGTAAACTTAGCAAACCTGCAGCGTCCAATTTTAATGATCCCTGAGTTAGAACGTACAAATGTTG